AATATATTTAATTCAATACATATAATAAATTATGATAAAAGTTTTCAATGATGATAAAACAGTTTATATTGACAAAAAAAATATCTATTAAAATATTTTTATGAGTAATCAAATATAGTTTAATAGGGAAAAGACTAATATCGTACAGTATTGTATTGTAGATAATATTTGTATATTAATTTAAATGTAATATTGATTTTAAGTAATACTATTTATGTGATAAATTATTTGCCAATTATAGGAACAAAAAAAATTATCAAAAAAATAATACTAAATACTCATAACTTAAACACTATAATATAATGACCATGAACAATTATTAACATTTTATACTAATGATAAAATTTATTTATCTAAAAGTTTTATTATTAAATTAACATTATATAAATATATTTTTATTTATTCAAAATATCAGTCAAATGAAAGTTGGCGACCCCACCAACAATGATACACTTATTGGTCCAATGATAAGCAGCGATCATCAGAAAAAAGTACTGAAATACATAGAGTTGGCCCGTAATGAAGGCGCTACTGTCCGGTCGGTACCATTCAAACTGGACACCGATCACACGGCCGGCTATTACGTAAGTCCTACGGTTATTACCGACATTCGTGACGACAGCGCCTGTATGCGTGAAGAAATATTCGGACCGGTTGTCTGTGTAGTACCGTTTGATACTCAGGACGAGGTCGTCACGCGGGCTAACAATAGTCCGTACGGCTTGTCGGCCAGTGTCTGGTCGAGTAATGTGGATCGGGTGCACACTGTAGCCAATCGACTTCGGGTCGGTACTGTCTGGTGTAACTGTTGGCTCGTCCGCAATCTGAATATGCCTTTTGGTGGACAAAAACAGTCGGGAACGGGACGGGAGGCAACTTTGGATTCCCGAGAGTTTTATACTGAAAAGAAAACTATTTGTCTTAAAACTAATAAATAATAGTAAATTWAAAATAAATGAATTTAATTTTTAATTTAATTTTTATGTATAAATGTTAGATTTAATAATTTTGTTAACTATAAAAAATAAAATCTATTATTATTTTTGCTTGTATAATTTTTTTTTTGAAAATTATCCAGATAAAATTGTATGGAAAAATTTTATTATGCAATGATGATATATTTTGCATAATATTAATACAGTATTATACAGTAGATATTAGGTTAGCGTTGCGTTAGACATATATAAAGTAGGATGGCCAAACACAAAAATATACAATATACTTAAAATATAATGCAGTTTAAACAAATAAAGTTAATAAAATAATTTATGAAAAACATTTACATAAAACTAACATTAATTACAACAATAAAACAATAACAATTTCATTATAAATATTGATTAAACTAATAGTATTAATATAAATGTAAAATCAAATAAATAAAAAGTAATAACTGAATTTAATAAAAGTTAATACAATAAAGAAATTATCAATTTATAAAAAAAAATTATTACATTAGTTTTATAATTTATTTTCATAATAAATCTATGTGTTATCTAATGTTTAATTGTTATTATTATTATACATTACTATAGTTATGTTATTTTATTATTTTTAGCATTTTGTTACATTGTTTGGCCAAATTTTGTGGGGGTTAATACAGGGGGTAAAAAAGCAATTAAAAGTCAGTCTTATTGGCTAATCTTATAAACAGTACTTTTTTCACACATCTGTAAGCAATTACATCAATGTTTAAGTTTGTTTGAATACAATGCTTAATGTCTAATGTTTTTATTAGCTGTTTATTATTATTGTGTTTAAAAATGTGATATTTTTCACCAAAAAAATAAATAAATAAATGTTATAAAAGTTTTGTTTTATTATTATAATTAAGTTTAATTATCAATACAATAATGTTTTTGACCACTAGTTTGTCATTTGAAAACTTGAAAATTTAAAAAACTGTTTGATTAATGAAAATTAACTTTTGAATTATGTGTAAAATGTTAGCCAAAAACATATATCATAATATTAATATAATATTTAAGTAAATTATGTTTATTAGTGACTAATTGTTTTTATCAACTATTGTTTTTAAATACTACATATAAAAGTAAGATTTCAATTTATATATAAAACTTAATAATAATTAAAAAGTTTTATACAATTAATTTAATTTTTGTTTTTTTCGTTGTTGTTAAGAAATGAATGATAGCGAAAGTTTGCCACTAATTTACGATTTAAATTTAATGGCAATAAATGATCTAGTAAGTTATTTAATTTTATTATTTTTTCAAAAATATCATAATAATTATAATAATTATTTTTATACGTTTTCAACTTTATGATAATGTGTTTAACTAGTGTTTTAATTTGTGATATTATAATCATTAACAAAATTAAAGTAATTAAAATTTATATCTAATATTATTTTTTATTTATTTATATTAAATGTAAATTTTTATTAGTACTCTAATTAAATATAATATACTGTATATCATACAGTATTTAAAGTAAAAATAATGTTTTTTAGTATTGAAAACATCATATATTGAATTTCTAAATAGTATCAAGTTCAATGTTTCTACATTTAACATTAATAGGTAATAATTAAATAAAATAAAATTAATTGATATTGTGTTATATTTATTTAAAATTGCCTGTCATTGATCCACTAATTATACTGTATATACAAATACACACAAACATGCAAATTATATTGAATTAATTAACTATTTATACATTATATGATACTTATTGTTTAAATAAGTAATGTTAATGTATGTTAACTATAATTATGAAAATACTGTATACATTGTACAGCATGTCATCAATTTTTAGTTTTATCAATAGTGTATTATTGTGTGTGTTATTTACAGTTCAATAATGTACTTCAATATAATTTTAAAGCATATACTTATGTATATTACGTTTGTATTATAAAAGTTAATTATAATAGTATACTATTATTGAATATATTGTATGTTTTAATTAAATTTTTACATTATCAACTAATAATATGTTTATGTCATAATGTCGACATTAAGATTGTTTTTACAATCTTAATATAAATTATTATAATATAATATAATATTATTGTACATTCATTGTATATATATTTTTATCTAATATAATAATCTAATACATTGTTGAAGACATCCATATGTCCTTCAATTACCGTTTACTTAGTTTATTATTTAGTATTGAATTCCTATTTTAATACCTATTTCTGTATAATTTGCTAATCTTTATATTTACATTTGTATTACTTTACCGTTTGTTAACCAATTACCTGTATATCCTGGTCAGTGACACCAATTACTGGCACCTCAATGTCCAGCACATCAACTCTACAACCGTTTTATATTCAAATAGTCCAATGACTACCTTTCCCTACAATTCATTACCTGTATATCACTCCACTATAAATACAGTACAACTACTGTATTCATTAGTCAATACACCTCTCAGTCAGTCAGTCAGTACATCACACACCTCACAGTCATTGCCACTGTATATCTCAGCCCAGTCTCAGCCTTTACTACTGTACTCGCACTACACGTGCTCTCAATTATCATAACTTTTACCGATATTTTATCCATTGTTTTAATTCACATTAAATTACAATAAAAGTGTTTCACTTATAACTTTGTTTAACTTCATTATCATTGTTGTCATACATCAAGAGTTCTGCCGATTATTATACCGATTCTTATACCGATTAGTATCGCCAACGCTTACCGATTGATAACTACTTACCGATAGTATTATCGCTACCTGATTGTCATGTGCAAGGATTTGGATCATCAATTGGCCACCACTTGGTTACCACAGCTGCACAGTGATCACACCTATCATCTGAGAAGTCTTCCTAAGACCTATTGGGTGATCTATCTGTGTCTCACCAGTTAAATACCGGTCTCATACCGACCACACGGTAGTTGACTACCCGTAGACAACAATTGGCACAGTTGGCTGGATCACCATAGATCCCTGACCGTGTCGTAACAACATAAAATGTAATAATTTTTTACTGTTAAAAAAAATATATAATTGAAATTGATAAATAATGTTCTCATATAATAGTTTGCACATATAAAATTATAATATTCAATAATTTAATCAAATATATATAATTATTAAACAATAGTATCTGGATAATAAAACTTAAACTAATCTTATAACCAATAGTAACCAAGGTGAATAATTTATCTGTATATATAAATAGTAAATTACTGTTCATAGATGAAATTTGACAAATTTATTATTATTATTATTATTATTTTGTCTGCATATAGACTACACATTTATAATTGTAATCAATTTTCTATTCAGTACTAATTTTAATTATGTGTTTATATATACACTTTAATTGTAATTATTAATTATATTTGTTTGTTAGACATATATTTTATTTAGTTTTTTTTTGATAAATTAATAATGATGTTATAGTTTGTAATGCCTGTTCTTAACTACAGTGTATAACAAGTTATTATTTAAATTTATTTTAAATAATTAATATATATATTTTTCAAATTATTTATTTATAATTATTGTGTCAAACAATATTTTACTACTATTATACAGAATATAAAAATTATTATTATTCAATTGATAAATAATAATTGAATGTCATTTGCCAAAAAATAAATAAATATTTTTTTCATTGATGTGATACTTTAAAAAATTGTTTAACGTTAAAATATTTTTCAATAATATTAACAATAATAATAATAATAATAACAAAATTGTAATTTGACTTTAATTAATAAATGATATAAATTAGTATTTATTGTTAGATATGATTGCATAGTTTGTCTGTAATATCACTGTATTGTTAGGGTTTGGATGTCTCGTAACCTAACAAAACTCATAACTTTTATAATCACTAAATTGATAACTATTTAATATATAATAAGTTATTAATACAGGTGTAGTGCAAAAGTTTTTTTTAAATAATTATATTTCAATACAGTATTATGCATTACAATGTATTGATACCTGTATAAATATAATATATGTGATATTGAATTGTGATAATAGACAATAATAATTAAAAAAAAATAATAATATACCCAAACAATGGAAAACAGCGATACACTGCCTTTATTATCATATGTTGTATGTTATTGACATTAATTTTATTTTTTAGCTATAAATAATTATAATAAATTTTAATAAATCTATATATATATTTATTAATCATATTTAATAATATAAAAAAACAAATTACATAATTTTATTTTATACAATTAATATTATTTATATTATATCATATTATATTAACAGCTCTCATAAAAAAATTATTATAATGAAAGTGAAAATCATAATTATAATAAAAATCTGATAATAAAAGCCATAATTTTTTTTATTGCTTTTTCTTTTGTGTGGTAAAGTCAGATGACTATGATTTTGATGTAAGCAATCGCCAACAGCTGGTCCTATCATCGGACAGTCCCRCATACGGTAGTCTAAATGATTTTGACATAACTGGTCCGGTATCCATATCGTGGCATAATATCAATGTATTCAACAAGACATCCAATGGTAAACAATTGCCACTTTTGCACCGATTTAAGAAACCAAGTGTTCATATACTTAAAAATGGTATTATTTATAATTATTATAAAATAAAAATTAAACTAATGATATTTTTTTAAAAGTTTCTGGTGAAGCTAAAAGTGGACAATTAATGGCTATTATGGGATCAAGGTTAGTTATATAATAGTGATATCTAATATATATATATATTAGTACTAATTATTTATAATATTTTTATTAACATAATGTAAATTATTAAATATTTTGTAGCATATAATAGATTTACGCTACTATAACAACATATTTATATATGTTATAAACTATTATTGTCTAAAAAAATAATGACAAACCATATCATACTTGTCCTCCTCTACAGTGGCGCCGGTAAGACCACTCTGATGAACGCATTGGCTCAGCGAAACGTATCGGACGTAAGCCTAGAAGGCACCGTCCGATTGAACGGACAGGCAATCGACAAGCACGGCATACGTGCCGTATCGGCTTACGTACAACAGGACGACCTTTTCATTAGTACACTGACAGTCAAAGAGCACCTGTGGTTTCAGTCTAAACTACGGATGGATCCATCATTAAACAGAAGGGAACGTAAAGCCAGAGTCGACAAAATATTATTAGATGTATGAGTAATATAATGTTTATTWATTTWTTTATAATCCTAATTACGGAAATTTATTTTTGTTGTYTGTTTAAATAAATAGTTAGGTCTAAATAAATGCGCCAACACTAAGATTGGTAGTCCGGAGCGCGAAAAGGGTATATCCGGCGGAGAAAGAAAGCGCCTGTCGTTTGCATCGGAGGTATATAAAAAATTGTAATTAAACGGTTGGTTGTTAAAAAAATGGTTATTTTTTGGATCAGTTATTAACTGATCCGTCAATCATGTTTTGTGACGAACCGACCTCCGGATTGGACTCGTATATGGCCCTCAATGTTGTCGAAGTGCTCCGGGATATGGCAGCCAATGGCAAGACAATCATCTGTACGATACATCAGCCGTCGTCTGAGGTGTTCTTCTTATTCAATCATTTGTTACTTATGGCCGATGGAAAGGTAGCCTACTTAGGAAAAGCGGGTAATATATTGATAAACAGTATTAATAATTATCGGTAAGTTTAAAATAAAAATACTGTTTTACCATTTAGGAGAGGCAATGGAGTTTTTCTCAAGTTTGGGATACAGCTGTCCTAATAACTACAATCCCAGCGATTTTTATATCAAACAATTAGCTGTAGTTCCCGGCAGTGAAGACGAATCTAAGGAACATATAAATGTAATTTTTGAAAAATAATTAATTTATTTTTATTTACAAATAAAATAATTATTTAGTTTATATGCGATCGTTATCGTGACAGTTGGTACGCCAATCAGTATATGCCGGGAACCGGTAGAGCCGATAGTGCTATGTATACTGACAGCAGCTCATCCCAGGGCACAAATCCATTCAGTAGTACCGTTATTAATAATAATAATAGTTTTAAAAGCAATGGTCGCGTCTATCGGAGCGGTTGGTGCACACAGTTTTGGGTACTACTATACCGATCGATACTTACAACATATCGCGATCCCATCATATTTAAGCTGATTTTAGTCACATTAGTATGTTTTTTATAATAAATAAAATCACTCATAAAAACAATTCATATTAATATATTTTTAAATTGTTTTTTTTTTATTAAATTAGTTTATAGTTATAGTGATGGGACTCATCTATTTGCATCTGGAGCTCAACCAAAAGGGTATCCGCAATATTAACGGCGCCCTATGGATGCTATTGATGTATTTAAATCTACAAAGTTTGTTTGGTACAGTAAATGTTAGTATTGTCATTAAATTTATCAATTAGTAAAAATAACTTATGGTTTATTATTGTGATTGGTTTTTTGATAAACTATTTAGACATTTTGTAAGGAGGTGCCCATATTTCATAGGGAACACAGTAATAATGTATATCGGGTTAGTCCATATTTTCTAACCAAAATGTTGGCAGAGGTATAGTAGTAAACATTATTGTTTTTTGTTGTTGAAAAATTTAAGCTAATTTGCATTATTTATACATAATAGTTGCCTATTTATGTGATAATACCATTGATGTTTGTGTCGATCTTTTACTTTATGGTCGGCCTAAACAACAATCTCTATCGTTTTGTGACGTGTGTCTGCATATGCCTATTGGCAGCCAATATTGCCTGCGGTTTCGGTTTGTTTAACTATTTTATAAAAAACGTCTATTTAGTGATAATTAACTAATTTGTTAATTTTTTCGACCAAAATATAAAAAAAATATCAATCAAATCAGGATATCTAATGGCACTGATAACGCACAACATAACTGCAGCATTGATGCTATCGGCACCATTACTTATACCATTAATGATTTTTGGTGGTCTATTCAACAATATTGAGTATATATATATTTTGTTGTTGTTATAGAATATTATTAGTAATTTTACAATTTACTGTATATATAGTATATATGTACTAGATCATATTATTTTTTTGCTAATATAAGTAATTTAATTTCTAATAGAAACTAGTAGTATAGTAAACAAATATTATTGTTTTAATGTTTTTATTTACGGTAATTATTTATTTTTTTCTGAAAATATAATCAATAATTGATCTAGTTCAATTCCATTTTATCTAATTTGGATAAAATATATTTCATGGTTTTATTATGGCAACGAAGCACTGGTTATAAACCAATGGGATGGCGTCGACAATATTGATTACAGTGACCAGTTGTGCGAGTGTTCGCGACTCATGTCGGGAGACCAAGTGATCCAATCGATGGACTTCAGTGTTGACCACTTTTGGCGAAACATCAGTGTAATGATTGTACTGACCGTTTGTCTCCGATTTATGGCTTATACTCTTCTGTTGCACAGCTCGTCCGGTGAAGGATTGACCGCCAAATTGAAAGCAATGTTTAGGCGATAATTAATTTTATTAGTATTTTATTATTTTTTGGTACAATTTTGATTATGATTGATAATTTTGTACGAGTTTTTAAAAAATATTTTTTAAATAATAAAATTTAATAAACTTTTAATCTTTTATTTATTAAATTATTTAATTTAATATATTTTTAAAAATAATTTGTAGATCARTATAATCTGGATTAATAAAAACATTTTTTAATACAAAAAAAATTATTGTTTTTATTTAAATTTTTTTCAAAAAAAAWTGTTTTTAATTACTTGCATATTTTTTATGGAATTTATTGACACAAATATTTTTTGTATAATATAGTATAAAATATATTATAATAAAGATATTTACATAAAATATATTTATATTTAAAGTATTATTTTTTACTGTAGAGTACAGTGCATTATAAAACAATGTCGTTAATATCGTGGCATAACATTGATGTTTATAGTAAACCATTGGCAGTAATACCTGTTCCCTATTTGAAAAAATATAATAAACACCCGATTCGTATACTGAATAATGGTAATTATATATAGTTTTAAATTTGTATCAATAAATTAGTTTACAAATATTACATAAAATTAATAATCATTTTTTTTTGTAATTAGTTTCGGGTTATGCAAACAGTGGACACATGTTGGCTATTATGGGTGCCAGGTAATAAGTCATTACAACAAAAAATTGTGCATGATAATTTTTTGATAATAACAACAAATAATTTGTTTTATTAGTGGTTCAGGCAAAACAACTTTATTAAATGTATTAGCACATAGATATTTACATAATTATACTGTCCAGGGGACAGTTATGTTAGACAATAATCTGGCAAATATTAATCAAATTAGATCGATATCGGCTTATGTTGAACAGGACTACCAATTTATCGGAACACTGACCGTTGCCGAACATTTGGCATTTCATTCACAATTACGTATGAATGGGTCAATGTCGGCACTGGCCAGAGATAGTCGTGTCAAACAAGTTATGAGAGCTGTAGGCAATTAATAATTTTATTTTAATATATACTGTATATATACTGTAATTGTTAAGTAATATTATTTGTGCTAATAGTTGGATCTGGATGTATGTGCCAACACAATGATTGAATCGCCATTTACTGGTCAGCAATGCATTTCTGGTGGCGAAAGAAAACGATTAGCATTTGCTTTGGAAGTAATTATAATACAGTATATAATTCAATATTTTTTTTGTAAATTTGTAAATTGTTTTTATTTCACTGAATTTTTTTTAATAGTTATTAACTGATCCGTCGATTATGTTTTGTGACGAACCGACCACCGGATTGGACTCGTTTATGGCGCTCAATGTTGTCCAAGTGCTCCGTGATATGGCACAGTCGGGTCGGACAGTCATCTGTACAATACATCAGCCGTCATCTGAAGTGTTTGGACTGTTCAGTCATTTACTATTGTTAATGAATGGAGAGTTAGCTTATTTTGGACCGAAAGGTAAAAATAAATATTTTTTTAAAAAATTAATTCAAACATCAGAATACTTTCTTATTTGAATTAAAACATATTTTTATTATTTTTAGATAAAGCTTTAAACTATTTTTCTAAGTTTGGCTACATATGTCCTAAAAATTATAATCCTGCTGATTTTTATATTAAACAATTATCTATCTTACAAACTGGACAATCAATAAATTATATCCAGGTAAAATAATAAAGAAAATAATTATAATAATACAATAATTATAATGTATTTTTTAACTTAATATTTAAAAAAAATATATTTAGATGTATAACAAACAACAACAACAACAAAATAATTTACATTATAATCAATTTGATGAATTCATTGTCATTGATAGCAATAATAATTATAATCGGAAAAAATTAACTCATAGTTACATATATAAGACCAATTGGTGGACACAATTCAATACACTTTTATGGGTATCATTATTAACAGCCATACGAGAGCCCAGGATAACAGTGCTCCGTATAGTATTGACTGCAGTAATAAATACAATATATTTAATATATTTATTAAAAAGTGTTAATAAATTTATTTTATTTGTAATAAAACTCAGATTACGGCATCATTTTTAGGTCTAGTATTTGGCAATCTTGAGATTAGTAATAAAAACATGCAAAACATTAACGGTGCCATATTTATGATCATCGATTTGGTGAACTACCTGAGCGTTTTTGGTGTAATGCATGTATGTACTATACATTTTAGTAATAAATTTAATAATATAATATTATTTTCTCGTTATTATATAGACATTTTACAATGAATTGCCAATATTTTATCGGGATCATGGAAACGGTATGTACAGTGTAAGCGCCTATTATTTGTCTAAAATTTTAGCCCAGGTAAACTATATAATTTTTACTATAAAAAGTTAGTATTATTATTATTTATATTTCACATTATATTATACTTTAGTTACCAATGACTTTATTGGTACCAATTATTTATTTGTTAATATTTTCGTATTTAACAAACTTGATGGTAAATTTTGTAGACTATTTTTGGTGTGTACTTATATGTGTACTAATAGCTACCAGTGCAAGCAGTTTTGGTAATTTTATCAATTTTTATTTATTATTTTTTTATTTATATTCAATAATACACCAATAATTTTGTTGCTATATTCAAAAACTTAGGTTATTTGATATCGTGTTTAAGTTTTAATATACGTATGGCTCTAATATTAACACCAGTACTGCAAATGTCGTTATTGTTATTTTCGGGATTTTTAATTAATATCCGGTAAATTATAAATAAGTTTATTTTGTTGAGTATTATTATTACTGTATTATAATAAAATATAAAATTCAAAAAATTATAGCACTGTACATCCCTATTTGGCCTGGATCAAATATTTTTCATTGTTTTACTATAGCCAAGAAGCTTTTATGTTGAATCAGTGGCATAATGTTAATAATATAGATTGCAATTTAGTGGAAAGCCTACAAAACGGTTTTCCTTGTGTACCCAATGGTCAAACAGTTTTAGGATTTTTCAATTACGATAAAACTCATTTTGCACTAGACTTATGGCTATTATTAGCATTAACTATTGGC